TTTTTTTGGTTTCCGTGGCCCCCCCCGAGGCCCCGTAGGCCCGCTGGGGGATCGTCGCAGGCGATTTCCCCCCCCGAAGCTGAAGTCGGGCCTGCTCCTCTATAGGAGGAGTACTCAAGAATAGTCAAAGCAAATACCAGGGGAGGATTTTTCGACGATGTTGAATTCGTTTATTTGATTATGTTTGGATTTGTTTTTTGTTCTCTTCCAAAATCCACCTGTAGGGGGACATGCCCGACCTAACCCCAATCCCCGAGTTCTGCCTCAAAAGTTTGGCGGCCATTCAGACAATGAGGGGAACCATGGGATACTCCAGGGCGGCTCTTCGGACGCATCCCTTATCTGGGAAGGACGCCACCTCACACACACACACATACACACATGCATTTATATATACATATATATATATACACATATATACATATGTATATATATATGTATATATATATATATCCCAGGGTTGGGCCCAGAGTTTGTGGTCCGTTCGTGAACCCCACGAAGCCGCTGGTAGGGGTCGACATATCCCTTGTTAGATTGGGGGCCTTGTAACGTTCAGTCGGTCGTTCCAATTAGGCGGCGAGCGAGGGGGCGAGTAAGAAGGAGAAGGTTTTCTCAGAAGGTCGTGGGGCTTCTCAGGGGCTTTCTGGCCTTCTGAGGAGTTGTTTGTGTCTTCGAGGGAGGGTTAGACAACTTCTCAGAAGGCTGGGGGACTTCCGAGCCTTCGGAGACGGCCCGACCCTTCCCCCTTTCGCCGCCGAAATAAGTTGAGGTTCTGATGCAGTGATGCAGGCCTTTGGGCTGGCCCCAATGTTTAAACGGCCCAAGTTGCGCCGAAGGGGGCTCCATGACGGACCTTGCGACCATCTTGGGCCATGTTGGAAGTTTGGATTCCCAACCATGCCTCCCAGGCCGTGTTGGTAAACTTATGCAAGCGGCACCAGGAGTCTTGAGAGATGTATGGCCCCAAAACCCTGCCAATGCGAGCTGACGGGGAAAGGGACGAAGAGGCGCATATAGTGAAACAGAGCGGGCAGCCGGGATGAACAGAGAGATTGGCCTTGGAGGGCCTCTTCGGGCCACCCCTGGGGCCCGCGGGGGGGCGAGGGGAGGAGGAGGAGGAGGAGGAGGAGGAGGAGGAGGAGGAGGAGGAGGAGGAGGAGGTGGAGGACGAGGAGGTGGAGGAGGAGGAGGATGAGGAGGAGGAGGAGGAGGAGGAGATGCGCACCGACCCTTGGGGCCCTCGTGGGACGCTCTTGGGGTGCTCTGTGGGCCCTCTTTAGGCCGTCTTGGGGCCATCTTGGGGCCCTCTTGGCGCCCCTCAATGGCCTGAGGCTATCTTGGAGGCTATCGATCAACGGAGGGGGGAGGGGTCTTCGATCTACGCCCCCCTCCTGAGGCCATCACAATAGGCCATCATAGTCGCCTATTGGGGCACTCTTGGGCAGATCTTGGGCAGATCTTGGGTGCTCATGGGGCCGTTTTGGGTGCCTGTTGGCCCCCTCTTGGGGCTCTCTTGGGCCATCTTGGGGCAATCTTGGGGCCTCAAGAGCGTGTCGGAATCGAAGCGGCAAGAAGGCACAACACAATAATTGGCTTCAGGTGTTTTGCGAGATGTTGTCCTTTTGGGGGGGTCCTGAGGGGGCGCCGAGAGCACTTGGGCCCGTCTTGGAGCGGTATTGTGGGCCCCTTTGAGCATGTTGGAGGCCATCTTGAGCACCTTCGGCTATCTTGAGCCATTGTGGAAGCCATTTTGGACCATCGCAGGCCCTCTTGGATCCATCTCGGGCCATCTTGGACGCTCTAACCCCTCCGCCTCCCCCCCCGGTCCAGACCTGAGGGAGAGAAGGTGAAGGGTACCCCTCTCCGAAGGGAAGATGGTCTTGGAGGAGGAAGGCAAGAATATGTTAGACCACCTACGCCCAGAGAGCTGGTGGGATTCGGACGAGAGGATCAGATGGAGGATGGGGATGGGCCATTGAGGACGTGGCGCTGGGGATCGGGGGCTGCGGGGAGACGGGGCGGACTGAGGAAGAGGAGGAGGAGGAGGACGAGGAGGAGGAAGAGCAGGAACAGGAGCAAGAGCAGGAGCTTGAGGAGAATGAGTATGATCAGGAGGACGATCATGCGAAAGGGGATGGAGACGAGGATGACGGATGAGGAAGACCAGGGATGATGATGGTGATGAGGACGAGGATGAGGATGAGGATGAGGATGATGATGATGCTGATGACGATGACGATGACGATTATGATGCTGATGATGACGATAATGATTATGCTCATGAGGATGATGATGAGGAGGATGAGGATGATGCTGATGATGCTGCTGGTGCTGATGACGATGACGATGATAATAATGACGATGATGATGCTGATTATGATGATGCTGCTGGTGATGCTTAAGTTGTCGATGCTGGTGATTATGATTATGGTGATGGCGGCGATGACGCTAACGATAACGATATGATAACAATGATGTTGATGATGATGATGATGTTGATGATGATGATGATGGTGATGGTGATGGTGACGGTGATGCTGCTGATGATGAGGATGAGGATGAGGTTGTGGATGAGGATGAGGATGATGATGATGCATATGCTGAGAAAAGGGCAATGGCGAGGAAGCGGATGCGGATGCGGATGCGGATGCGGTTGGGAATTGTGAATCTTACGATTATGACGATGCTGTTGCTCCTGCTGCTGATGATGATGATGATGCTGATGCCGCTGACGATGCTGAGGACGACAATGGTATCATTACGCTGAAGATGTTACGGCTGATGATGATGATGACGGCGACGACGATGATGATGATGGTGGCGGGGATGCCGATTACATTTACAAATCTTCTGATGGCGATTGTGGTGGTGGTGGTTACGGTGGCGGTGATAGTTACGGTGAGGTCGATGATGCCCACGATGATGATGATGATGATGATGATGATGATGATGATGATGATGATGATGATGATGATGATGACGATGATATGATGATGATGATGACGATGATGATGAAGAAGAAGAAGTTGGTGATGATGATACTTCTATTGATGGTGATGATGTTGATGCTGATATGGTGGTAATGCGAATGCTGCTTACGATTATGACTATGATGCTAATCACGATGCTGATGTAGTTGATGATGATGATGATGATGATGATGATGATGATGATGATGATGATGAGACGCATGCTGACGATGCGGATTTTGATGATTATGATAGTGTAGATGATGATGCTCTGATGATGATTCTGCTGATGATGAAGACGATGCTGATGTTGATGATGATGCAGCTGATGATGATGATGCTGACGACGATGATGCTGTTGATGATGTTGATGCTGATGCTGATGCTGATACTGCTGATGATACTGATACTGATAATGCTGGTGACGATGGTGACGATTTGCGTTGCTGCTGCAGCTGATGATTATGTTGTTGTTGATGCTGCTAATGATGCTGATGAGGACGATGATGATGCTGATGAGGCTGACTGTGATAATGTTGATGTTGCTGATGATGATGATGACGCTGCCGATGATGATGACGATGCTGATGCTGACGACGATGATCATGCTCATGTTGATTATGATGATGATGATGATGATGATGATGATGATGATGATGATGATGATGATGCTGATGCTGATGCTGATGCTGATGCTGATGCTGATGCTGACGGTGCTGATGATGATCATGATGATGCTGTTGATGATGATAGGGAGGAGGAGGAGGAGGTGAAGGAAGAGGAGACATAGGCGGAGGTGGAGGGGAATGAGGAGAAGGATGAGTTGGAAGAGGAGGAGTTTGAGGAGGTGTAGGAGGCGCTGTAGAAGTAGGCGGAGGAGGAGGAGGAGGGTGATACGTGATAATGCGAAGGAGGAAGAGGAATACGAGGAACAACAACAGGCAAGGACAATGGAGAGTAGGGGGAGCAGAAACAGCATAATTTTGGAAAACGAATGGAGCAGGAGGGGATGCAGGAGGCACAGTGACAGGAGGGCTGGAGGTGAAGTAGGCTGGATGGGCGACAGAGGAGAGGGCCATTGGGGAACGGGAAAAAGGGGGGAAGGTTGGTGGGGGAACGGGGCCGACGGAGGAGGAAAAGGAGAATGTGATCGAACAAGAACATACATTTTTTGGCGCTCCGCGCGGATTTTTTGGATCCGCGTTGGGCCCCTCTGGCGGCGCCTCCGGCGCCGCCCCTGGTGCGCTCCGCGCACGCGCACCAAGGAGGGGGTCCAGCGCAGATCTAAGAAATCCGTGCGGAGCACTAACAGTTTCTGTTTATGCTGTTTTTTCTTTTCCCATGTGAGAACAGGATGCAACACCAGCGCAGGAGGTTCCCACCAAGCAGGAGGAGAACGACGAGGAGATAGCTGTTTCATATGTCTTGTTTCGACGATCGGCCCCCTCCCCCCCCGCTCCATGGACCAGACCTGGCTGCTCTTGGGGGCTGCTTTTCCATGGCATCGCTCGGACGTGTGCGTTATTTTTTTTGGCGGGGACCATCGACGAGCATCCCGGCTCATCGAGCAACAAAAACACGTGCACAACTGCAGACTGCACGGGGAACGGACGTCCGAGCGATGGCAAGATGTTAGCGGCTGGGACGCCAGTCTGCTTGCGCGACTGGCAAAAGCAGACCGACTGAGCACTGGCCCAGACCCAGAGCCCCCCCCCGCCTCCACCCTTCGGCCACATGCCGAAGCCCAGAACAGGACAGCGCTCCACAGGAAGGGTGAGAAAGAGGGAAGGTGGGGAGGGTCATGCGGAGGAGGAGACCAGGGAGGACGAGGAGGAAGGGCGGAGGAGGATAAGGAGGAAGAGGATCATGGGAAGGAGCAAGAGGAATGAACTGCAGTCAGAGACAGGGGCAAGAGCAAGAGCGGGCGTCGGAGGGGCAGCTGGCGGGGCAGCACTGGCGATGAGGGACAGGATGGAGGAGGAGACGCGTAGCAGGCCTTGTTCTCCCCAGAGCGAGGGGCCAGAGCCACAGGCGGAGGCATGCAGAAGCGATGGCGCGCCGCCCCACCGGGCTCGGCCGGTGTCATCGGTGGCGCAGGACCCGGAGCCACGGGTGCAGGCACACAGCAGCGATGGCGCGCCGCCCCACCGGGCTCGGCCAGTGTCATCGGTGGCGCAGGACCCGGAGCCACGGGTGCAGGCGCGCAGCGGCGATGATTCTCCGCCCCACCGGGCTCGGCCAGTGTCATCGGTGGCGCAGGACACGGAGCCACGGGTGCAGGCGCGCAGCGGCGATGATTCTCCGCCCCACCGGGCTCGGCCCGTGTCGGCGATAGCAGCCCAGGGCCGGAGTTGTCTGTCTGGCCCTGGCTTTTGGGAGCCACTGCCAGTGTGCACGAAGTGCACGCTCGGACGGGTCGTCGCGGAAGAGGTGGCCGAGTCGAGCCCGATCGAGAAGGTGGCGATGCAGGTCCTCGCCAGGCATGTCGTGCGGCTCGGGGGCTCTGGACCAGGCCTCGAGGGCGCGGTGCTGCGGGCGTACAGGAGGGCCCCGCTGGGCTGCGAACAGTGGCGGCGCTGGGACTTCCTCTCCCGTCCGAGCGGGCTGCGGGCGTACCTGGAGGAGAAGTGGCGCGTGGAGCAGGTGTATGCCAGGTGTGGGCGTGCAATGCGGAAGAGCGACGAGGAGGTACGAAGGGGGATTCCGCTGGAGGCGCTGGTGCGGAAGACCCCTCGGAACCCTGAGGTGCCTGCGATGGAGCTCCTTGAAAAAGGTAAGGCGCCGAATGCTGAGCCTGGCGAAAAGATTGAGCTGTCCATCACGGACATCAGATTCGCGCATGACTCTCAGAGGGAGCACTTCGGCCACCTCGCCAAAGCCAAGGCCAGCGCCGTGCAGCGCGGCGTGCTTCAGCTGGCCGTGGAGCTGCTGATGGGTCTCACGGATCCCCGGAAGGTGCCGAAGTTCAACGTGTGCAGGCACGACGACCTCTGGTACACCTTCACTGGCAACCGTCGACTGGCCGCCCTCCGCATAGCGAGCCTCTTCGCGCCAGACCTCATCCCGAAGCTGAGGCTGCGGGTGTGCGAGGCGAACGAGATGTTCTTCTGCGGGCAGGGGCCCTTCCCGGCCCGTTACACCACTGGGCGGAACGGGCCCGAGTGCGCCGGCAGGTGAGCGGCGCCGAAAAACGGATTCCATCGCGCGGACACCGGCGCGAAAGTTTCTGGCGGTGAGGTCGCGCGTATGCGCCATCTTCTCCACGCTCGGCAGTGAGCCAGGGAGGGAAGCGAGAAGGTGAAGGCCTCCCCAGAAGGTTCGGAAGTCCTCAGGCCTTCCGAGGAGTTTGCTGAGCCTTCCCCGACGTCCTCCTCAGAAGGCGCGAGGGCTTCCGAGGAGCCCCCGCCTTCATAGAGGGCCTCCTCCTCCGGACTCTTCCCCCCCTCGCTCGCCGCTGCGTGGAGGTCGCGCGCGCCTGCGCCCTCTTCTCCGCGCGGCGGGCCGCGGCGGCGGCCCGCGTGGGCCGCGGCGCAGGGTCGCTGGGAGTCCTCTCGCGCAGGCCCCGGTGCCTTGGCATCGCTCGGACGTGTGCGTTTTTCCTCCGGCGAGGACCATCGAGGAGCCTCCCTGATCATTCGGTGAAAAAACCACCCACGAAGCCGGCAAAAGCACAGGGAAGGGACGTCCGAGCGATGGGGAGTGCCTTGCCGTCGCGCAGGTGGCTGATCATCAAGGAGACGGGCGAGGGCGTCGGCCGCGTCCTCGAGGGCGACTTCGGCGAGTACGGCTGCGACCTGCTGTCCCTGCTGCCCCTGCCCGAGAGGAGGCCCGAGCGCGTCGCCGAGGGCGCCGGCCCGGAGGTCAGTGGGAGGAAGCGCCACCCCGACCCCCCCCACAGCCGGCGTCTGCTGCACCAGGGCCCCCCACGGTACGGTAGGTTTGCGTCGTGTCGACCAGCGGCGACCCCAGCGCGGGCGTTCAAGGTTGAACGCCGCCGGCGACCCAGAATCGATCGATGTTGAACGATGGGACGTTGCGGCAGCGACCGATCGTTCAAGGTTGAACGATCCAGCGCGGTGTCAAAAACCAACGCTGGGGTCGGCACGGCACGAACCTGCCGTATGCAGAGAGCGGAGACCCATGCCAAGAAACACCCTGCTCGCCTCCAGGGTGCCCTGGGTTTTTCTTGGGTTCCGATGGTTTCGCGATGGAGAGCGTGACGTTCCCACACCAAACATCCGTGGACGTCCTGGGGTCTTAAGGGTTGGGTTTCTGGTGGAAGGTTTCTTGTGGGCTGGCTTCCACTGTAAATCGCCCCTCCCCTTAAGTCGGGCCTGCCCCTCTACAGGGGGAATATTCAAACATATTATAAAAACAGTCTGGGGACTCATTTTTGAGCGTGCTTTTTTACCTAACAGCGAAGACTGATAGGTTTCTAGTGGGGTCAAAAGAGCTCACAGATCACTCCACAGGGGGGTCCGGGCAGGTGTTGGGAGTTGCCGGGCGGCAGGGTGCCGGGCTCGTTTTTCACCAACAGTCACACACTTCGTGCTCTTCGAGTTCCCAGAACTCCATTCCCAGGCTCATTCTGAATACCCGGATGCAACAGTCACACACTTCGTGCTCTTCGAGATCCCAGAACGCCATTCCCGGGCCACATTCTGGAGGGCCGGATGCAACAGTCACACACTTCGTGCTCTTCGAGTTCCCAGAACTCCATTCCCGGGCCACATTCTGGAGGGCCGGATGCAACAGTCACACACGAGTTCCCATTCATTCCCGGGCCACATTTTGGATGCCCGGAGCCAACTGTAGGCCACTTCGTGCTCTTCGAGTTCCCAGAACTCCATTCCCGGGCCACATTTTGGATGCCCGGAGCCAACTGTAGGCCACTTCGTGGTCTTCGAGTTCCCAGAACTCCATTCCTGGGCATGAATTTGAATGCCCGGAGCCAACTGTAGGCCACTTCGTGTTCTTCGAGTTCCCAGAATTACATTCCCGGGCCACATTTTGAATGCTGAGGCAGGCTGAGGCTGAGGCTGAGCAGGCTGATGCTGAGGCAGGCTGAGGCTGAGGCTGAGGCTGATGCAGGCTGAGGCTGAGGCAGCCTGAGGCTGACGCCGAGGCTGAAGGCAGACTGAGGCTGAGGCTGAAGCAGGCTGAGGCTGAGGCTGAGGCAGGCTGAGGCTGAGGCAGGCTGAGGCTGAGGCTGAGGCAGGCTGAGGCTGAGGCTGTGTCTGTGACTGCCGTTGCCACTGCGACTGTCAACGCGAATGCGACTACGACTGCGAGAACAGCACAATTCTACAACTGGATTCTCATCTGAATCTTAAGGGGAATGCTTCCAGATATGCTCCTACACATCGCTGTTAGGTTGCTTTGCCGGGATAATTTTATAAATGTAAATATATATATAAATTCATTAATCAATTAACTATTATTGAATCGCTTCGCTCATTCCGCCGGCCCATTTCGCATGACTGAGCCTCTTGGGGCCGCTGGGGGGCCTCTTCAGCGTCGCTTGGGGGCCTCCTGAGGGCCTCTTGGGGGCTTTTGGGGCCTCTCAGGGGCCTCTTGAGGCCTCCTGGGGGCTTCTTAAGGCCGAGGGCTCGAAGTTTTGTTTTGTGTTCCCCCTTTGGGGCATCGCTTGGGGCCCTCTTGGGCCCCTCTTGGGCCGTCTTGGATGCCTCTGGGGCCGTCTTGGAGCCCTCTTGGGCCATCTTGGGGCCTTCTTGGGAGCTTCTTGGGCCTTCTTGGGGCGATCTTGGGGGCCTCTTGGGCCGTCTTGGGGCGTCGGGAAGCCGAAAAGATGGACACGCCAAAATCTGCCCAAAACCTAAAAAAATGTAAGGAATGTTGCCTCTTGGGGCCCTCTGGGGAGTGCTCTTGGAGGCCTCTTGGGGCGTCTGGGGGCCATCTTGGGCGTCTTGGAACGGTCGTGTGGCATCTCGGAGCACTCTTGAACCATCTTGGAGGGCTCTTGGCGGCCTCGTGGCCCTTCTTGGGGCTCTCTGGAGGGCCAAGGGGGCGGCGCCCAGGAGGAAAACCATCTCTGACCCGACCCTGCCGGGGATCGCCCAGGGTACTTTTCGTCCGGCGACCCCCAGGGGCCGCCCCGCGCGCGCGAAGTAGAAGTATTATTTAGCAGTTACCGGAGATCTTAGCACGCCTCTGGCCCGTTGGGCCGGCGAATTAATAATAAATCAAAGGCAGCAGCGTGGAATAGGGATTCCCCGCTGCAATGTCCCGGCGGAGAACCGCGGGCCACGCGGGGGCTCGTCGTCGGGGCCTCCGCCAGTGGCTCCTCCTTCTTCTCCTTGTCGTCCCCCGCCCAAAATCGACCCCCTTGAAACCCTGCGGGGGGCAGTCCCACGAGCGTGGCCGAAATGTGGCTGAGGCAACTCCACTCGCCTGACCCCCCCCGGGAGAAACGATCAGAAGGGGGGTTGCACTCGAATGCGCGACGACCTTGCGCGGTGGCTCACGCAGGCCGCTCGCGCGGCAGACGCGCGAACTTACGAGGGCGGCATGCGCGCGAGTGCCCGCGCAATCGACCCCCTTGAAACCCTGCGGGGGGCAGTCCCACGAGCGTGGCCGAGACGTGGCTGAGGCAATTCCACTCGCCTGACCCCCCAGGGAGAAACGATCAGAAGGGGGGTTGCACTCGATTGCGCGACGACCTTGCGCGGTGGATCACGCAAGCCGCTCGCGCGGCAGACCGCATTAAGGCGCCTACGCGCCACCTTCCGCGGGCAGCTTACGCACAAGTGCACGCGCAATCGACCCCCTTGAAACCCTGCGGGTGCGCCCTCCCGCGGGCGCTTTGAAATGTGTCGCCCGGTTGCGGTTGCGGTTGCGGTTGCGCGCTCCCGCGGGCGCTTTGAAATGTGTCGCCCGGTTGCGGTTGCGGTTGCGCGCTCCCGCGGGCGCTTTGAAATGTGTCGCCCGGTTGCGGTTGCGGTTGCGGTTGCGCGCTCCCGCGGGCGCTTTGAAATGTGTCGCCGGGTTGCGGTTGCGGTTGCGCGCTCCCGCGGGCGCTTTGAAATGTGTCGCCCGGTTGCGGTTGCGGTTGCGAGCCCGCGGGCGCTTTGAAATGTGTCGCCCGGTTGCGGTTGCGGTTGCGCCCGCGGGCGCTTTGAAATGTGTCGCCCGGTTGCGGTCGCGGTTGCGGTTGCGCGCCCGCGGGCGCTTTGAAATGTGTCGCCCGGTTGGGTTGCGGTTGCGGTTGCGCGCCCGCGGGCGCTTTGAAATGTGTCGCCCGGTTGCGGTTGCGTTGCGGTTGCGCGCGCGCGGCGCTTTGAAATGTGTCGCCCGGTTGCGGTTGCGGTTGCGGTTGCGCGCTCCCGCGGGCGCTTTGAAATGCGTCGCCCGGTTGCGGTTGCGGTTGCGCGCCCGCGGGCGCTTTGAAATGTGTCGCCCAGTTGCCGTTGCGGTTGCGGTTGCGCGCTCCTGCGGGCGTTTTGAAATGCGTCGCCCGGTTGCGGTTGCGGTTGCGCGCCCGCGGGCGTTTTGAATTGTGTCGCCCGGTTGCGGTTGCGGTTGCGGTTGCGCGCTCCCGCGGGCGTTTTGAAATGTGTCGCCGGGTTGCGGTTGCGGTTGCGCCCGCGGGCGCTTTGAAATGTGTCGCCCGGTTGCGGTTGCGGTTGCGGTTGCGCGCTCCTGCGGGCGTTTTGAAATGTGTCGCCCGGTTGGGTTGCGGTTGCCGCCGCCGGGTTGCGCTCCCGCGGGCGGTTTGAAATGTGTCTCCCGAGCTGTCCCCTGACGTTCAGTCAGTCATCAGTCAGCCGGCGGGCACGGAATTTCACCCGGTTCCGCCGGGAAACACTTTTTTTTTTGGTTTAACCCATAAAATCGTCTAGCATCCCCCTGAAGGTGGACAGGCCCGACCTAACCCTCCCCTGTTCGATCCCTTCCCTGGGTGCGTCTGCGACGGGGCCTCACCTGTCGGGGTGCTTCGTGTGGGGGGGATTCTCCCTCCCTCCCGAGTCGGCGGCGAGCCCAGGGAGTGAGTAGGAGAGGGTCTTCTCGGAAGGCTCGGGAGTCCCCCGGCCTTCTGAGCGGATTCCGAAGCCTGCCCCGAGGACGCCGACGGCTCTTCTCAGAGGGATGCAGGGCTCCTGAGAAACCCCGCCGCCTTCTGAGATGCTGGGCATCGCCTCATCACGACGCCAATCTTGGGGATTCCTTCACTTTTGCGGGCGAATCCCTAAGATTGCCATCGCCTTTTGGCGTGTCGATCTTAGGGACAGGGATGCGTTCGAGGCTGGTAATGAGAAGGCCTTCTCCTCCTCACTTGGGCCCCTCGCTCGCCGCCGAGCTCGGCTCTCGGCCACGACTCGGGCCTCGGGCGGCCGGTTCCGGGGCGCTCCGGGCAGCCCCCGAACGCCCTCGGCGAGGCGCCGCCGCGGGAGCGCCTCCCCGGGGCGGGCCCCCGCCAGGAAACTGCGCACGCGCCAGGAGACCTACAGAACCAGGAAGCCACGAAAACGCCACGACAACGCCAGGAAACTGCGCACACGCCAGGAGACCTATAGAGAGCCTCGGAGCTCGCACCCCGAGGCTCCCCCCCCCCGCCGCTCGCCGCCGACAGGCGGCGCCGCCCGAGCCTGCCGGCGAGCCGGGCGCCGGCGGCGAGCTCGCCGGCAGGCCGCGGGAGCGGCCGGAGCCGGAGGCCGCGGCCGCAGGCGCCGCGGCCGCCGGCGGCGGGGCGCCGCACCGGGACGACGAGTTCGACCCGAACCGCGACTGGCAGGAGTTTTTGCGGGACTGGAAACGGACCACAGCCACCGCTTCTCGCGCCTTCCAGCCGGCCGAAAAAGAAGCAGTGGTTGTGGTCAGTTCCCTGGTGCCAAGCTCAACGAAAATGACCACAACCACTGCTTTGCTTCTGCGGGCTGGAAGGCGGCAACAAAAGAAAAGCAGTGGCTGTGGTCGTTTTCACGCCCCGTAGTTTTGGGGAGCGAAGAAGGTGTGGTGATGGTCAGAAGAGGAAGAGGTGTCCATACCTCTAATTACCCCCTCGCCCGTTTTTCCCTTTTGGGGCCTCCTGGGAGGCCCTCGTCGCCACCGCTGGATTCGCCTCGAAATTCTGGTCAGAACACACCCCGGGAGAGGTCCGGGGGTAGCGGTATCGGTACCCTTCCGTATCCCCAGATGGGCCAATTTTCCACCACCTTTATTCAGAGCGTAAATTACCTACCCCGCTTTCGCTTCCAGGCAAAACCAAGCCATACCACGCGCCTCCTCGTCAAGCGGCCTGACCAGCACAGGCCGTAGTTTGGCGTCGTTTGGTATCTCTTGGAAGCGAGGGTGGTCAAAAGCGAGGTAGGTTTGTTTTCCCCCTACTTTCGTATCCCCAGATGGGCCAATGTTCCCCGTTCTTTACCACAGGTAAGCCAGGGGAAGATCGAGGGGAGCAGGGAGAGCGGGGAGCGACGTAGACAGTCGCCCAAAAAGCAGCGGGCACAGATCCACATGCAGATGTGCCTCAGGGCTCCAGCTTCGTTTCATTTCTTGCCGTAGAAGTCACACACGTGCTTTGTCTTGTCTTGTCCTCCTTCTCCTCCTCCTCCTCCTCCGCCTCCGCCTCCTCTCTCCTCCTGCCTCCTTCTCCTCCTTCTCTTCCTCCTTCTCCTCCTCCTCCTCCCATTCCTACATATGGTAGTGGTGGTGGAGAATCGGCCCATCATATAGAAGCAACGGATGGTAGTCCCCAAACGTAGTGGTGACAGCACCCAGCGGTGAGTCTATCGGGCGATTTTGTGTAACCACCTGATCTGGGGACTCGTGTGGTTTTTCGACGATGACCCGAACGCTGGTGGTCCAGGAGTCACAGAACCCGGCGGTGACCCCGCGTTCCAGAACTCGGCTTGCAGGAGTCGGTCGCAGAAGACAACTCAACACAAGCATAAACTTTTTGGCGCTCCGCGCGGACCTCTTGGCTACGCGCTGTGCCCCCCTCCTGGCGGCGCCTCCGGCTGGGCGGTCGAAGTGCGCATGGAAGCAGCGGCTGCAGAGTCCAACGTCGGGTGTTGCTAGCAGGACCGCTGGCTCAAGGTGCCCCCAGGCTTCTCGGGGCGGCCCAGACGGCCTCCAGGGCACCCCTCACGAGGCCCAGAGGGCCCCAGGGGCTCCAAAAATCGCGCGGAAAAAGCTGGGGCTTGGTATCGCTCGGACGTGTGCACTTCTTCTCCGCGGGGATCATTGAGGAGCAGGCTGGGGATCATCCTGCGAAAAAAACCGCGCACGAAACCGACAACAAAAACAGGGAATGGACGTCCGAGCGATGGCCAGGGGGGTACCTTGGGCCAGGGTTATGTCGGGCGTGTCCCCCTAAAATAAAAAATACCGCAACAATGCCCCCCAAAGGTAAACACAATTCAAAACAAATGTCCACACATTTTGTTTTGATTATTGATTAAAAGTATTTAGAGGATATTTTCTATTCTCGTCGAACATCCCCCTGTAGGGGGACAGGCTCGACGTACGGCCAGCAGGGGCACTTCTGGCAACACCCGGCAATGCGGCAGCTCCCGCTCCTTCTCGGCAGGGCGCGCTGTCGGCGTCGCCGCGGCCGCGGCCCCCTCTTTGCTCGACGGGGCGGCCGCCCGCCCAGGGCCCGCAGGCAGCGGCCGCCGTCGGCTCTGGGCAGCGTCTCAGCGGCGCAGGAAGGATTTGTGGAAGGCGATGTTGTGGAGAGGGGAAGCAGGCTGCCAAAGCATCCCCAGACGTCCAGAAGGTGTTTCAAAGCATGGCTCTCAGATACGTCGAGGCCGTGCTTGAAGGATCCTGGGGCATGTCCTACACATGTCACACACAGCTCTCATTCAATGATAGGACTGTCGGAGTCCTCCTCCTCCTCCTCCTCCTCCCTCCTCCTCCTCCTCCTCCTCCTCCTCCTCCTCCTCCTCCTCCTCCTCCTCCTCCTCCTCCTCCCATGCACAAAGGAAGAAGGGCTCGTCTTCGCCGGCCCTCGGGCGCAAGCGGCCCGCCCAGGGCCGCGCGTGGACGCCGTCGTTTCTCCGGCGTGGCGTGCCGCGACGGCGGCCCGCGGAGGGCCCCGCGGGAGGCCGCCATGCCGTCCCGCGCGAGACCCCCTTCTCGGGCCTCCTCCTCCTCCTCCTCCTCCTCCTCCTTCTCCTCCTCCCCCTCCCCCTCCCCCTCCCCCTCCCCCTCCTCCTCCTCGTCCTCCTCCTCCTCCTCATCTCGTCCTCCTCCTCCCTCCTCCCTCCTCCTCCTCCTCCTCCTCCTCCTCCTCTTCTCGGGCCAGGCGAAAGGGGGGGATTGGGAAAGGGGGGGGGTACGAAATTTGCTGCCTGCAGCTGGTTTCGGCCCCACCGAGGAGCCCGTTCCTCGATACATAGTCGCCTCCGGCGCCGGGAGGCGCCGGGGAAATCAGCTGCGTGAGCTGATTCTCAAACCCCCCCTTGCTATCCCCCCCTTTCGCCCGACCCGACCTTCTTTTCGTCGCCCACATGCCCTCCCCCCGATCGCAGGCGACTTTCCTCCTCAAACTTCAGAGACCCTTCCTGTGTGTCGCCCAGTGGGCCTCGTGCCTGTATGTTTTCCGCACCCGCGCCGGGTGTCTGCGAGGAGGTGGCCCGGCGCCTGGAGGCGGCTCCCGGCGATCCAGGGAGACCAAGCGTACCTCGGAGCAGACGTGCAGTGGGGGCCCACGCGAGACAAAAGCTCGGGGGTTGATCGACCTCCTGCCCTGACACGTCGATTGGTGAGTTGGCCGTGTTCGGTTCGCGAGAGGGCGTCGCGGCCGTCATTTCTGCGGGTCCAGGTCCGTCGGTCTCGGTCCCAGGCCGTCTTCTTTCAGGGGAGGTTTACGAAAGGGAGGTTCGTCCACCGCCGAAACAAAAACACACCCTGCTCGCCTCCAGGGTGCCCTGGGTGTCTTGGGTTTCGATGGTTTCGCCATGGCGAGCGTCACGTGCCCACACCAAAAATCATCAGGAGGGGAAAAAACACATAGACACAACTAATCGTCGATTCCCCAGAAAATATGGGAAGATATGGGAAGTTGGGGGGAAGACAAAAACCCAGGAAATATGAGAAAATATCGGGAATCGTTTTATCTGTGTGTCTTTATGTGTGTGTCCTGGGGCCCCTTCAAATCAGTGGACGTCCTGGGGTCTCAGGGTTGGGTTTCTGGTTGGTGGAAGGCTTCTTGTGGCCTGGCCTCCACTGTACTTTGGAGTGGGGGCCTCGGGGCGCGCCCCTCGGCTGCGCGCTGTGGCGCCCGCCGTGGCCGGGACCGTGGCCGCTGCGACGCCTCACCGCCAGGCTGCAGCTCTTGGGAGGCCAAATTCGGCGTCGGCGCTGGCGTTTTCGCGGTCTAGGCTGACGCTCGCTCGGCCCAGCTTCGAGTCCCGCCGAATCCCGCCGAGCCCGGCCGAGTCCGGCTTGGTCCTGTGTGCAGTGTCCGGCCTAATTCGGTGAGGTGGCCCGTGAATCGGGCCGAATCGTTATGAATCGTTCTCACGGAGTCCTCCAAGGAGTTGCCTCCCAGTCGCTGGGGGTCTGCGTCGTCCCGGGGGCACGCCTTCGGGGGTTGCGAGGGGTGCCCCTGGCCGAGGGTGCCCCCAGCTTCTCGCGCGAGCTTCACTGTTGGAGCCCCTGGGGCCTTCTGGGCCTCGCGAGGGGTGCTCTGGTCCGCGGCGGGCGAGGGCCAGGGGTGGAAGTGAGAAGGAGGGGGCCTCCCCAGAAGGCTCGGAAGCCCCCCGGTCTCCTGAGAAGTTTCCGAGGCCTCCCCCGAAAACGCAGGACAATTTCCCAGGAGGCGCGAGGCCATCTGAGGAATCCCGCCGCCTTCTGAGAGAAGGCCGTCTCCTTCTCACTCCCCTCCCTCGCTCGCTGGCGGTGCGATGGCTGGACAAATTACGGGAGGGCACAAACACATGGGCCCAGAGGACTCTCTATGGCACCCATACCTCCTGACACGGAGAGCTGCGAGGCCCAGACGCCGATGGGAAGACGCAGCTGCAGAATACGCACTTTGACGCCTACTTGTTCATCAGGGCCCTGAGGGCCCGCCGCACTGCCCACCAGTGGGCCGTCCTTCGGACGTTCCGCGCGTGTCTGTCTGTCTGTCTGTCTCCTTCGCTCGCCGCCGAGTCATCCTCCGCCTCACCCGTGCGTCCCTCCGCACGCACCCCGGGGGGGAGGACGTGCCCAGGGCCCGCCAGTGCTTGAGACGGGCCGCCTCCCGAGCGCCGCGGGCGACCATATGAGGCCCCTTCCCTTCTCGGCGGCGGGCGAGGGGGCGAATGACGGGGAGGAGGAGGAGGAGGAGGAGGAGGAGCAGGAGGAGGAGGAGGAGCAGGGAGGAGGAGGAGGAGGAGGAGCAGGGAGGAGGAGGAGGAGGAGGAGGAGGAGGAGGAGGAGGAGGAGGAGGAGGAGGAGGAGGAGGAGGAGGGAGGAGGAGCTCGCCGCCGACTGGAGGCCGTGGGGGCCTCCAGACGTTGGCCCCCCCCCCCCTCCGAGAGAGGCGAGGGGGACGCCGCCGCCGGCGACGAGCGGCGCGGGGGCAGGCCGCCGCCGAAGCGAAGGACAGCGGGGGGGGGGGGCAGAAGCTGCGGCACGGTGGTGGAAAACATGCCCATCATGCCGTTCTCGGTTGTGCTCAGAGCCCGGACCCGCTCGCGTTGTGAACAAAGTCACGACGGGAGGTTTGTCGCTATTTCCGGCCTCCGGGGGCCCTCACCGAGCCCCGGGACCGTCGACAGAACGGCCCAGGATGACACAGCGGTCCCCGAGAAGGGATCCAGACTTCTGGGGGTCGATGCTGTGCCAACAATCACGACGTCGGGGGTCTGGGAGTCCCGAATCTCCGAGGCGGGGATCTATCCATATCCACCGCCCGGGGAATCGATCCTCGCGGACTTCCACAGGTGGGGGATATGCATATAGTCTGGGCCTCCTAGGTGCGGTCCGAGTAGATGAGGTCGGAGGATCGCATCGGCGATGCGGCTTGATGCGGAGTCAGATTTTCTCCACGCCGACATCGCCGATGCGTCGCCGACGTGGGCGATGCGGCGCAATCCTCCGACTCCATCTGCTCCGACCCCATCTGGGAGGCCTCTATGCTCAGAGCCCCGAATCTCCGATGGGGGAGGACTTATCCATATCCACTGCCGGGGGGGACCCATCCTCGCGGACTTCTACAGTCGGTGGATGTGGATCGGTATCCACCGCCCGCAGGGGCACAGGACGTCGGTGCCCGGGCGGCGGATATGGATAAATGTCCGCCTCGCAGAATCATCAGGGCTGGGGGCGCTTATCGGGCCGGACGAACGGGGGGGATTGGGAAAGGAGGGGTTACGAAATTTGCTGCATGCAGCTGGTTTCGGCCTCACCGAGGGGCCCATTCCTCGATACATAGTCGCCTCCGGCGCCGGGAGGCGCCGGGAAAATCAGCTACGTGAGCTGATTCTCAAACCCCCCCTTTGCTATCCCCCCCTTTCGCCCGACCCGAGCTTAGGGATCCATCGAGAACAAGAGACCCCCAAACCTGATCAGCAGGAAGAAGGCGTGGCCTCGCTCGGGCACCCGGTCTCTGCGCCAGGCATGGACGGGAAGTCCGGGCGGCTCGGTTCTATGCACCTGCGAGACAAAAAAAACAAAAGACCCTCTGCCCCTCATTTGTGTCGGCCCCCCTAACTGAGGGGCACCCCTTCCCAAGAGTTCAGTCGTGCACGTCTTTCTACAGGAGGAAGATTCAAAGACAGTCCCCCAAAGTAGTCTGGGGACGATTTTGCTATTATTTGTTGACTATCTTTGGGTGCTTTTTCGAGCATGATTGATTTCTCGTCCGGAGGGCCCGCTGTGGGGGGACATCGATGCCCGACCCGATGTCACCGGCCAGTCGAGGCATGCCTCCTCGCCGCGGTGCCTGCCGACCCTCGGCGGTCGCGCCCCCCTCCTCTCTCTCCCGGGATGCCCCTCTCCCGGGAGGCTCTCTTCGGCATCGGCGAGGGCGCTCTCGCGTTCAGTCGGGCCCGTCCGTTGGACCACTCCTGTGCGATCCCGCAGACTCTGGCTCAATATGGCTTGATGCCGGGCTCCGTTCGGCCTCATCCGGCGAAGTGTCACCACCTACCAGACCACCCCAACCCAACCCGAAGGCATCAATTTATCCTCGATTTCCAGTGGGGGGGGGTCGGGGAACGTTGAAAAAACACGTGGTATCCGTACCCCCCCAACCCGAAATTCGGGTCAAATTCGGGTCTTCGGGTTGGGTTGGGGTGGTCTGGTAGGTAGTCAAAGTGGCCTCTTCGTCGGGCCTCCTCGCCCTGAACCGCTCCAGCGAAGACCGACCAGACGTCGCCTCCGAACTCCTCCGTCCTCCGCGGCAGCTCCCTGCTCTCCCGCCCGCTCCGCTCCGCTCCGCGCAGAGCGCGCCCCGCTGGACTCGTCCCCCGCGCCCGCGACCGCCTGGTGCTGCCGAGGAGGGTGTAGGGGGGGGGGAGGAGGAGGAGGACGAGGAGGAGGAGGAGGAGGAGGAGGAGGAGGAGGAGGAGGAGTAGGAGGAGGAGGAGGAGGATGTCTTGGATCGGCGCTGGGCCCCCCTGGCGGCGTCTCCGGCGCTGCCCCTGGCGCGCGGAGCGCGTCCGGGAGGGGGTCCAGCGCCGATCCAAGACATTCGGGAGAACATCCGAGGCTTCAGTCGGGCTTGTCCCTCTACAGGAGGAGCATTCACGAATAGTGAAAACAATAGTCTGGGGACTATTTTTGAATATTATGTTTGGTTATCTTTTCAGCATGTTTTGAGGATTTTCGATTGTTCGTCCAAAATCCCTCTGTAGGGGGACAGGCCCGACCTAATCCAAGGCATCATGATTATCCTTCCTTGTTTGCTCCTGGAACAAAAAGCGTCTGGATTGGATTGGAGATTGGAGAGGTAGAGGTGGATTGGAGACAAAAGCGAGGGAAAACGAAAACAAAGCGAAAACGAAAAACACCGTTTTGCTTCAGCCCTGTGATTATCCTTTTCTGCTCCTAAGGAAGGTGGAGGCCGTGGCCGCCAGCGCCGCGGCCTCCAGCGTGGCGCCGCGCCCAGAAGGCGAGGAGCCGGAGGACGACGACGAGTTCGACCCGAACCAGGACTGAGTCGGGCCCGTCCCTCTACAGGGGGAATATTCAAAAATAGTCAAAAACTAGTCTGGGGACTTTTTTGTAGTATTTGTTGGCCATTTTGGGGGTATGTTTTTTTAGTATCTTTTGCATGTTTCGTCCAAAATCCCCCTGCAGGGGGACACGCCCGACTTAGAACCAGGACTGGCAGGAAGTGGCGAAGCGCATTTGGCAGCGCGCCCGAGGGGGTAGCGCGAGGGGGGGCCTTCTCAGAAGCTGGCTTGTGAGAAGCCTTCTCAGGAGCGCCCAGACCCTCCTCTAAGGAGGCCCTTGCCTTTTAAGAGGCGCGCCGCCTTCTTGGAGTGCCCCTCCCTCCATCGCGCCGGCCCCTCGAGCGCGCCGCCAACGCATGGTGGCGGCCCGGCAGCAGCGCGGCCAGGGCGTCAAGTGAGACGAGGCGGGCCGTGGGGAGCAAATGATGGCAGGCATCCGAGGCGGGGATGTATCCATAACCACCGCCTGGGGAATCGACCTTCGGGGACCAGCATCTGTTCGGGCTCCCTCGGGCCCAAATCTGTCTATGTTCATCGCCCGCTGGGATCCCAGGACGTTGGTTCCCATGCGGTGGATGCAGATAAATCTCCGCCTCGCAACAGATGTCATTTCTCGGAGGTCGGGGCTGATTTCCCGGATCGGCATCGAAAACCCCTGGCTTTGCCTCCAGCGCAGCCCCTTGGGGGGATTCAGCGACGGTTATAGGAATCATCGCGGGGCTGGCGCGGACGCATGTGGACACCGCCATCGGGGCCTTCGGTGGAGCTCCTTATGGGGCCACGAAGCGTGTAATGTGTGCGCCGCAATGTGAGGCGCGGACGCATGTGGACGCCGCCATTTGGGCCTTCGATGGAGCTCCTTGTGGGGCCACGAAACGTTTGAGAGGTGTGCCGACATAGGTGGCGCAGACGCATGTGGACACCACCACTTGCGCCTTCGGTTGAGCCCCTTCTGGGGCCACGGAAAGTGTGAAGGGTGTGCCGAAATGAGTGGCACGCATGTGGACAACGCCACTGGGGCATTCGGCGGGGCACTCTATGGGGACACGAAGAGTGTGAGGGATGTGCCGAAATGGGTGGCGTGGACGCATGTGGACACCGCCACTGGGACATTCAGTGGAGCTCCTTAAGGGGCCACGAAACGTGTGGGGGCTGTGCCGAAGTTGATGGCGCTGATGGTGATGATGTCGGCGATGATGATGCGGAGGATGGTGATGAGGACGATGATGACTATGATGATGCTGCTGATGATGATAATGATGATGATGAGGGTGATGGTGATGGTGATGATGATGATGCTGATGCTGATGCTGATGCTGATGATGATGATGATGACGATAGCGATGATGACGACGACGATTCTGACGATGCGGATGATGATGATGATGCTGATGATGACTATGATGATGCTGATGGCGATGATCATGATCACGATCATGATCATGATGATGATTCCGGTGAAGACGACGATTCTGGCGATGCGGATGATGATGACGATGATGATGATGATGGTGATGATCATGATCATGATCACGATCACGACCATCATGATGATGATGATGATGGCGATGATGCTGCTGATGATGCTGAGTATGATGGCGATGATTCTGAGGATGATGATGATGATGATGATGATGATGATGATGATGATGATGATGCTGATGCCGACGATGATGATGCTGATGATAATGATGATGATACTGATGATGATGATGATGATGCTGATGATGACTATGATGATGCTGATGGCGATGATCATGATCACGATCATGATCATGATGATGATTCTGGTGATGATGACCATTATGGCGATGCGGATGATGATGATGATGACGATGATGATGTTGATGGTGATGATCATGATCATGATCACGATCACGACCATCATGATGATGCTGATGATGATGCTGCTGATGATGTTGAGTATGATGGCGACGATTCTGATGATGATGATGATGATGCCGACGATGATGATGATAATGATGATGATACTGATGATGATGATGATCATCATCATGATGATGGTAGTGGTGGTGATGATGATGATGATCACGATGATGATGATGATGCTGATGATGATGATGATGATGATGATGATGATGACGACGATGGTGATAATGATGATGATGATGATGATGATGATGACGACGACGACGACGATGATGACGCTGCGTTGCTGATGCTGATGCTGCTGCTGCTGATGATGATGGTGGTGATGATGATGATGATGATGATGATGATGATGATGATGATGATGATGATGATGATGATGATGATGATGATGATGTTGGTGCTGGGAGGAGGGGGGAGCGGGGGGCGCTGTCTCTTCCACGCGAGGACCCAACACCACAGGATGGTTGGGAAGAACGGGGCCGATTGCGACGACACTGGCGCGTGAGCTGCCCGCGTAAGATTCCGCGTGAATTCCCTCGTCTCTACTGGGCGTGCCGCGCCGGTGGCCCGCGTAAGCCACCGCGCACGGTCGCTGTGCCATCTCGCGCAAGGCCCGTCTTTGATCGTCGCTCAAGCGAGAGACGATGACATTCTCCTGGCGCCGCTCGGGCGTCGGTGCAGCCTTCTCGGCGAGGACCATCGAAGACCATCCTGGATCATCGAGCAGAACAGGCACGCACAGAACCACAGCACGCACGGGAAATGGGCGCCCGAGCGGCGGCGAGGCCCAGTGCGGACCAGGGCCGTGGTTTGAGACGGGGGTGCCACGCCTTCTGCCGCCCGCCGCCGGTCTCGGCCCCCCGCCCGGCGCATGTGGAGCCCCGTGCCAAGGAGCATCCTGCTTGTCCCCAGGGTGCCCTGGGTTTCTTGGGTATCGACGTCTTCGCCATGGAAAGCGTGGCGTCCCCACATCACGAGGCAGTTGACGTCCGGGGGTCTCAGGGTTGGGTTTCGTGTGGAAGGTTTATTGTGTTCGAGCTCCTCCCCTATCCCGTATCCTGAGCTCACTTGACCAAGGGAGGGTAAGCCGCCCCGACCCCGGTGACTGGCGTTTACCCAGCGGCCCTGGGCGTTTACTGAGCAGCCCTGCCCTGTTCGATCCCTCCCTTGGGCGCTTTTGCTGAATAGCTTCGCTTGGCAGGAAGCTTTTTGTGAACTTTCTGCTCTCTACCTGACCTCCCCCCCCGCCCCCATCTTCCTGCAGGAGCATATTCCTGAGATATCCAGGCGCTCCGACCACGCCCCGATCTGTCCCCTCGCGCGAGCACCCCCGCGCGCGCCGCTGCCGCCGCCCTCTGCCGCGCCACCCCAGGTCGCTTGCCCCGAGCGGCCCACGCGCACCCTCCCTGAACCTGCGGCTTGCTGCACGACGCCACCGAGCACGCCGACGCCGCCCAAGCAGGGAGGGGGCTCCGAGCAGCACCGGCAGGGGGCGCTCCGCTGGCAGCCGCCCAGCGCCGCCCCAGCGGCGCCGCAGCGCCGCTCGCCCCCGCAGAGCCACCGTCCCCGCGGCACCTCGGCGCCGCCCGCGCAGCGCCGCGCGTCCGCGCCGCGGCTGGTTGCCGATGGGCCGATGTTCCACCACCACCACAATGGGTAGGAGAGAGGAGGAGGAGGAGGAGGAGGAGGGAGGAGGAGGAGGAGGAGGAGGCGGAGGAGGAGGAGGAGGCGGAGGCGCAGGAAGAGGAGGAGGAGGGGGAGGAGGAGGAGGAGGAGGAGTGGGAGGAGGTGGAGGACGCAGAGGGACCTCCCCGTCCTCCCTTCTCTCCGCCGTCCTGCCTGCGGCAGCGGCGGTGGAAAACTGGTCCATCCGTTGCGGGGGCGCAGAGGCGGCCGCCGGGCCCCGGGCCCCCTCGCGCTGTGAGAAACAAAAGCACGACGGGAGGTTCGTGCGCTCGGGCGTGTGTTTTTTCCACTGTGTGTGTATTTGTTGTGTGTGTGTGTGTATTTTTTTTTTTTTTTGTGTGTATTTTGTGTGTGTATTTTTTGTGTGTGTATTTGTGTGTGTGTGTGTGTGTGTGTGTGTGTGTGTGTGTGTGTGTGTGTGTGTGTGTGTGTGTGTGTGTGTGTGTGTGTGTGTATGTTGTGTGTATTTTGTGTGTGTGTATTTTGTGTGTGTGTGTGTGTGTGTGTGTGTGTGTGTGTTTTTGTGTTGTTTGTGTCCTTTTCGTGTTTCTTGCCTCCAGGGGCCCGCGCCGGGCCCCGGGCCTGTCACCACCAGGCCGTCTTGAGTGAAGGCCCGGCCCCACGGGAGGATCCAGACCTCTGGGGGTCGCCGTCGGGGAGGGACCACGGCGCCGGGGCTCCGGGGAGCGCCCCCCCCCCCTGCCGAGGGCCCCCCGGGGCCCCCGGGGGGGGGCGCGGAGGGCCGCGCTGCCACGGAGCGCGGGCACGGAGCTTGTGCTTCATGGGCGAGGTGGCCTGAGCGCTGCAGGCTTCGGGGCGCTCGGTGGCGCTGCTGGCACGGTCAGGCGATCGCGAGCATGGATTACCGTCGGGGCCCTGAACAAGGAGCCCTTTTCGTTGGGGAGGGGCTCCGCGTTCCTCAAGTGTTTCACAGCTTGCCTCAGGCTTTCCTTATGGTTTCGACAGGAAATCGAAGTTTAACTTATGGAAAAGAGGGGCCTCGTTCCTTGTTTAGGGTTCCTTAGGTCAACGCCCCGACTGTACTCAAGCAGTGGCGAAGCGTCCTGGCTCACCTCTAGCCCCCCCCCAACCATGTTATTAGAAGCTTTCGTGTGTCCACGAACTGTTCCGAGAACATGTCTGGTTGCAATTGTGTTGTTTTAGCACATCGGGTTTATGCTCTAAGAACATGTTTTTTGTTCTCAGAACATGTTTGGGTTCTAAGCATGCCGGGAAGGTCGGTCCCTGCTCAAAACATGGATTAAGGGTGCGTGAATTAGCGACGGGTCCCGTTTCCATGGGAAGTCGCGGATTTCCGCCGCCGAGCGAGGCGGCACCGGCCGCATTTGGGGGAGGGTACCTCCCCCGATCCGTGGATTTGGCGACGGCGCGCCAAGTCCATGGATCGCTCTTCCATGTCTGCGCGCGTCCGACACAGTCAGCCCGCAGAGCATGGATGTGCCTCTTTCCAATGTTACCTCTGCATCCTCCCCCTGTGGCCCATCATGGGCCGCGTCCGCTGGCCGCGCCCCGCCCGCAAAGTGCCGACAGGGCCTTCCAAGGCCCCTGCATCCTGATCGTGCGTTCAACTTTCGGGGGCGGTAAGGCTCGAGTGCGCCGGAACTCTGGTTTGCGGCGTTTCTGACGAGCACGTCCTGGCTTTTGGCGGTCCAGTGTTCGTGGGATGTGTGCAGCGGGAGCTCGCGCCAAATTTCGCATCGGGTCGCGTCGTTTTCATGGTGGCCCCGTCAGGCCAACCCGAGTCCCCCGTACCCGAGTCTTTCGGTAGAAAATCATGGGAGCCTTGTGTACCCTCGCAGTTCTGTATTTAGAGTCGATTAGCGTCGATTAGCGTCTTGGAGTTGATGAGGCAGTGCTGGTCTAGCGTCGGTTAGCGTCGAGTTAGCGTCGACTTAGTGCCGACGAGCGTCGATTCGCAAGAGCCGACAAGATGGTATGGGAGGCTCCCATGTTTCGCCTCCGAAACAAAACGCGTTCCCCTGGCATCGCTCGGACGTGTGCGTTCTGTTCTCGGCGCGGGCAATCGGGGAGCGTCCTCCATCATCGGGCCCAGAAAGCAGGCACGCAGGAGACCGAAGGCTGCGCGGGGCCTGGGCGTCCGAGCGATTTGCGAGAGCTCTGCATCGCGCTCCTGCGGGGAGGCCGCGGCGCACGGGCTGCCACCGAAGAGCCTCCCGTCTCCCCGACCGGGTGCTGCTAGAAGTGCCCGCTCTGTTATGTCGGGGGTGGACAGACCTCCTACCCTGACACGTCGATTGGTGGCTTGGCCGTTTTCGGTTCGCGAGAGGGCGTCGCGGCCGTCATTTTTGCGGGTCCAGGTCCGTCGGTTTCGGTCCCAGGCCGTTTTCACTAAGGGGAGGTTTAATACAGGGAGGGTTGTCCACCGCCGATTATGGAGCCCCTGGTGCCCTCTGGGCCCCGTGAGGGGTGCTCGGGGAGGCCGCCCGGGCCACCCCGAGCACGCTCGGGGGGTGTCTTGGGCCAGGGGCACCTCGAGCAACACCTCGCACGAGGATGACAACGCAGGTCGGCCGTATAGCGGCAGGAGGAGGAGGAGGAGCAGGAGGAGGAGGAGGAGGAGGAGGAGGAGGAGGAGGAGGACCCCCTCCCCCTGCTACTTGTGGTGGTGGTGGTGGACACACGAGCCCACCAGAAAGCGCAGCTCGGCCGTACAGCGAGGAGCACGGCCCGCGCCTCTGGCGACCCCCCCCTGCGCGCCGTGCCCGGGCGCGCCCCGGGCCAGGGCCGCCTCCCGGCGGCGCGCACCCCGGCGGCCGCCTCTGGCTTGGCATCGCTCGGACGTGTGCATTTCTCCTTCGGCGGGGAGCATCGAGGAGCATCCTCGATCATGTGGGGAAAAAGCCACGCCAGGGCACCGAAAAAAGCACAGGGAAGGGACGTCCGAGCGATGGCCAGCTGGAGGCCCGCGGGGCGCGCCGGGGCGCGCCAGGGCGGCCGCAGGCGAGGCCCTGCAGCAGGCCGCCCCCTCGTCCCGTGGTTCCCCTCGCCTCTCAGAGGGGGGGAAGGGGTTTCGGGGGCGGAAGAGGGGGGTGATGACTAGGGGGGGGTGGATATCATGGCGGGGGCCATGATATCCCAGATGTCGTGGCGCCTCTTCTTATTTCATTACGTCCCTGGCCCCCCCGCTGGGCCGCGCACGTGCCGCCGGTCATGATTTGTACCCCCCCTTCTTGGACACCCCCCTCTTGGCCGCTCCCGAGGGTTCTAGGCTGAAGTCGGGCACGTCCCTCTGCAGGAGGAAGATTCAAGCATAGTCCCCCAAAACGGTCTGGGGGCCATGTTTCATATTTTTAGGTGCTACGTTTCGACTTTTGTAATTTGCTTATTTTCCTTCTAACATCTGCCTGTAGGAGGACATGCTCGACCTAATTCTAGGCCTCCTAAATGGGTCGGAGTAGATGGGGTCGGAGGATCGCGCCTCATCGCCGACGTACTGGCGATGCGGCTCGATGTGGAGCCCCATTTGCATCATGTCGACGTCGACGATGCATCGCCGACGTCGACGATGCATCGCCGGTGCATCACCGATGCATCGCCGATGCATCGCCGATGTATCGGCGATGCGGCGCGGCATTGCGGCCCCATCTACTCCGATCCAATATAGAAGGCCTCTAGAGATACCCATACACCTCTACCCTTCCCTCGTTTTCCCATTATTGGGCCTCCTGGGAAGGACCCCGTCGCCACCGCTGGATTCGCCTCGAAATTCTAGTCAGAACGCACCCTGGGAGAGGTCCAGGGAGTAGCGGTATCGGTATCTTTGGGTTTCCCCAGCCTCGCCTCAACACGCATGTGTGCGGCCAGAGGGCAGCTTGCAAGGCGAGGATGATGCCATGGAAGGGGATGGCTTGCTCGAGGTCGGTCAGGCCACGCCCGACGTCAGGGGCGGCCTAACCGACCCCTAGCAAACCATCCCCTTCCGTGACGTCCCCTTCGCCTCGCCTCAAGACGCATGTGTGTGCGGCGGGAGGGCAGCTTGAAAGGCGAGGATGACGTCATGGAATCGACTACACGTAAGAGCGACCCCTCGCCGGAGTGACCCTTGCTGCAGGCCCACCTGGGCCCCCCCCGACTGTTGAAAGCCATGCGACGGATGGCAGCGGCCTGCGGTCGTGGGATGGGCCCCCTCGCCCCCCCCCCAAAGCCACGCACCAGAGGTCACTTTTGCCTAGGGTCACTCTTGCTGAAGAGGAGGAGGAGGACGGCGGAGAAGGAGGAGAAGGCGGAGGCGGAGGAGAATGCGGAGCCGGAGGAGGAGGAGGAGGAGGAGGAGGAGGAGGAGGAGGAGGAGGACGAGGAAGAGGGGGGAGGGGAGGGGGGAGGAGGAGGAGAGGAGGAGGAGGAGGAGGAGGAGGATGAGGAGGAGGAGGAGGAGGAGGAGGAGGAGGAGGGAGGAGGGAGGAGGAGGAGGAGAGGAGGAGGAGGAGGAGGAGGAGGGAGGAGGAGGAGGAGGAGGAGGGGGTGCAGCCGATGGAAGGGGATGGTCTGCTGGGGCGCCGCCAGGCCGCGCCCGACGGGGGCCGCGGGCCTCGCTGCGCGGGGCGGCCCTGCCGCGGCGCCGCCCGCGCTGCCGCGCCGCGGGGGGGGGGTTGGCGGCAGGCACCGGGTGTTGCTGGAAGTGTTGTGGAAGTCGATTATTGTCTGGACGCCCGAAATGGGTACTGAAAGAATGGGTACAACGCCCAACAACAAATCCTGTTCATTTTGAACAGGATCCGCTGTCCACGCCGCCGCGGCCTGTGTCCATTCGAGGCAGAGCAGGCGGCTGTTGGCTTGGGACAACATTTGTTGTTGGGCATAGTGCCCATTCTTTCCGTACCCACTTCGGGCGTCCAAATATTGGAGAGGAAGCATGCTGCAAAACAATTTCGAGATGTCTAAACACATGTTCCAACGATGTTTTGGATATGTAACAAAGCATGTCTGAGATATGTTGAGGGCACTTTTCCCACATGCTCAACACGTCTTTAATTCAATGATAGGACTGTTAGAGTGTCCAGTGTCATGGCATCCACAATGGAAGCGCCCCCCGGCCCCCAGGTGCCCCCCGCTTTTCGGTCCATTTTTGGAGGGCCCTGGGGGCCCTCTGGGCCTCGCGAGGGGGTGCTCTGGGAGGCCGTCTGGGCCACCCCCGAGAGCCCGTGGGGCACCGTGGGCCAGGGGGTGCTTCTGGCAGCACCCGCACAGACAGGGCGCCGGCCCCCCCCCCCTGGGCGCACCTCTCGGACGGGGCTAGGGCGAGGAGAAGTCCGTTTCGGAGCGCTCGGTGGCAAGGCTCGGGCCGAACGAAAGGGGGGGGACAGGGGAAGGGGGGATGACGAAATCTGCTGCATGCAGCTGGTTTCGGCCCCGCCGCCGGGCCCATTCCTCGATACAGGGGCGCCTCCCGGCGCGGGGAGGCGCTGGGAACATCAGCTGCGTGAGCTGAGTCTCTACCCATACCCTTTGCTATCCCCCCCTTTCGTTCCCCCCGAAAGGCAGTGGGAGTTCTGTGGCCCTCGCAGTTCTGTCTTCAGCGCCGACTGGCGTCTGGGAGTCGATGAGGTGGCGCCGATCTAGCGTCGGCCAGCGTCAATCAGCGTCGAATCAGCGTCGAGCTAGCGTCGAGTTGGCGCCGACGAGCGTCGATTCGCCAGAGCCGGCAAGATGGCATGGGAGGCTCCCGTGAGTGGCCACCGAAAGAGTGGTCTCCTGGCATCGTCGGACGTGTGCCTTCCTGTTCTCGCCGCGGACAATCGGGGGGCATCCTTCATGCTCGAGCCCAGAGAGCAGGCACGCACGAGACCGAAGACTGCGCGGGGAGTGGACGTCCGAGCGAGGGCGAGCTCTGCAGCGCTCTCGGGGCGCCCTCGGAGCGCTCTCGGAGGGAGGGCCGCGGCGCCCGAGAGATCCTCCAGATCCGCTGGATCTCATACTCCAGATTTCGTAATAAAAGGGAGGGGGTCTCATTTCGGAGGGGGGTCTCTTCCAGGCTATCTTGGAGGGCCTGGGGGGGTCTGGGGACGATGTTTTGGAGGGTTCTCCCACGGGGGGGGGTCTGAAATGGCTTGTCTTGGAGGGTCCAGACCCCCTCCCTTTTATTACGAAATCTGGAGTAGCTTCTCGATTCGTCCTTGCCCCATCTGATCCTCGGCCTGGCTCCGTCTTGACGTCTCCATCGGGGGCAGCGTCGCGGGGCGGGGGGCGGGCGGGTAGGCAGGGCGCCCTGAGCCCGCGAGCGCGTCTCCCTCCGTCGGGCGGCGGAGCCTGTAGGGGCGGGCCGAGGTCGGGGAGCCAGGGACGGGGTAGCAGCAGACGGGGTGTCGCAGGCCTAGAGGTTGACACCGACACCAATTTCGGCGGTGTTCCTCCACCGAGGGAAGAAGATCCCGAGATCGGTGATGGTGGTTAGATTTTGGCTTCCAAGGCCAACACCGAAATCGAGGATCATCTCCCCCCTGTGGAGGCAGCCCTCTGTCTTGGTGTTGGTGCCCATGTCCAGGCCTCCCAGGGTAAGAAGAAACGGCCGGTTCGAGGCATCAAAGGGCCCTTTTGTTGCAGTGCAGTTCTTGTTGTGCTCTGGCGTTCGATGCAGCACCTTCCACATGCTGGCTGCGTTGCGCATGTTCGTCTGCGGCACTGCAGCTTTTTGTTCTGGGCCCTCTGTTACCCGGTCTGTGGGGCTTGTTTGCAGTTTTTTTCGCAACTAGCTGTCAACAAATTGCAGTGCAGTTTGTTTTTGCGTTGCAGAAAATTCAGTGCATTTTTTGTTCTGGCCGTCGCAGTTGTTCCACCTGGATCCCATGGTGGGTCTGTTACCCTGTTTGGGCATTACCCAGTTTAGTGCTCCCTGACGAGGGGTAAGAAGGAGGCGGGTTCAGGGAGGGAGTCCTAGGGTACTTCATGTTTGTTGGATGATCTTGTCTCTCCTGGGGAAGGGTGATCTTTTGGTTTGGGGTGCTTTGGCCGGCGGAGGGTCCCATGTCCTTTGAAGAATGCTTTTTTGTCTTGGGTTCGACCGTGCATATCCACTGCCCCCTGGCTGGGCCCTTCCCAGGTTCAGGATGGGGCTTGGCCAGGGAGCAGTGTGTGTATGATCCAGTGTGTTGGGCACCCACGCCCCCCCCCCACCAGATGGTATGGGGGGGGCGGTGGCGACGACGGCGGCAACGACGACGGCGACGATGACACCGGCGACGACGGCGACGATGACGGCGGCGAAGACGACGGGGAAGACGACGACGACGACGACGACGACGACGACGACGACGACGACGACGACGACGACGGTGACGACGGCGGCGACGGCAGCAACGACGACGACTGCGAAGACGACGGCAACGACGGCGACGACGACGACAGTGAAGACGACGACGACGATGACGGCCTTGCCTTTGCTGACCACTACGCCGGAGACACGCACGCAAGCGCTCACGCGCACGCACGCACGCACACACACACACACACGCACACACACAATCACCACGCAGCACACCGTACCAAACCCAAAGGTGGGGGGACACGCACACACGTGCGCAGACCACCACACCACAGCACACCACCACACCATGCCACACCCACAGTGGGGGCGGGGGTACGCACGTACGCACGCACGCACGAGCGCAAACCACCATGACATCACACCACGCCACACCCACTGGGGGGGGGGACACGCATGTACGCACGCACGCTCGTGCGCAAACCGCCATTCCACACCACACCACATGGGAGGGGGAACCCATCATGGGGGGGGGTGGACACCATGCCATCAGTTGCAAAGGGGGAGGGGGGAGGGCAGACCCTGGA